TGCGGCCCGCATCGCGGAATTATGGTACAGCATTTTCAATGGTTACAAGGCTGTCAGAATATGATCGGCCTAAAATTCCTTTTTCCGCCGAGCCTTGCCTTTTTGATTATGTTATCTCTCTGTTCCCTGTGCCTAATGTGAAGACGGTTACCAGGCACCGACTTCGAAGTTTTCCTACAGCAGAGTCAGTATTTGTTTCGCAATGCCATCCTGGGGCTCTTTTTACCTCTGGGAAGTACGTGGTAACAACAGTGCGATCCGCAAACTTGCGTCCTGCGAGCGCTTGGAGCGCTTTCTTGGATGACTCCTTGGTCTCGAACTTGACAAAGATCTTGCCAACACCGGCAGATTGTCTGCTGCCTCCCACGGGACGAGGAATTTTGATATCCAGCACGTTGCCAAACTTGGCGCACTCTTCTTGGACGTCCTCCTTGATTTCTATAGATTGTCAGTATGTGCACAAGGACAGAACTAGATATTGTCGCTTACCCTCATAATCGTCAGGGTCCATCAACTCCTCTGGAGTGACCATGTTCAGAAGTTGCAGAACACGGGTTTCCTCAGAGTCAGTTGAAGTCGTACCGGCCAGCATAGACATGGCTGCGACTCCCATTTCCACCCCAGCAACTTGAGTCACACCGACACTGGCCTTCTGAACCTTGAGCTTCTTGTCTCCAAGGTCCATACCATTAAGGCCTTGAATGGCGACGTCCGTAGCTGCTGGATCGACATACTCGCAGAACGCGATTCCCTGCGAAGATAGTTAGTAAGATACACATAATGGCCATATGCGACTCAGCTTACCCGAGACTCTTCTGTGCTTCTATCACGAACAAGCACAAACGCTTTGAGCTCGCCAAATGACACTAAAAGCTCCGACACTTGTTCATCTGACAGGTAAGGAGGCATGTTCACGATGCTGATCTTGTTAGGAGTATCGATCACCGAGTTGGAAACGACGCCCGGCTCATATGGGACGTCGTCAACCACCGCGGGAACGATGTAATCCTTCGGACGACGAATCACGAGGCCTTGGCTACCCGCAGCGCCATTTGTGGCATCGTCGGCCTCCATCGAGATGCCATCGAGGGCGAGCGCTACGGTGGCCTCGGAAGCGTTTCTAAACTCAACTACGGCAAAGGAGTTGTCCTTTGAAACCTGACAGCTGGTGCAAGGGTCGGTGCTCTCGATTATGTTAAGGCCGTTAAGCTGCAAATTGAAGAAGTTCTGGAGGGTTTCTTCGGTCGTGGATGGGGGAAGGTTGTTGATGAGTAGACGCTTGGCCTGACGTGAGTTGCTCGGCTTCAGCGCAGCGCTGTTGACTTGGCCACCTGGCTGGTTCATGATGGCTTGAAGCTTGCTGGGATCCATGGGTTGCTGGCGGGGAGCACCGGGCAAAGGGAACATGCCTGACAGCTTGGCTTGTTCAGCAGTGACATTCTCATAGCCGGGGGGTTTGATGTCCCACTGAGTCAAACGTCGCTTGCGCTCCAAGACTGATGTGATGTTTGTCAGATCAGGTGTAGGCTCCCTCTTCTTGGGAGGTGGCGTCGCGCTACGCTGGCGTTGCTGTTGTTGTTCACGGCGACCAAATCCGGCATCCTCATTTCTGTCTCGTCCGCCTCGGCGTCGGTCATCGTACGGGTCGCGATCTCTCCGCGGGCGATCGTCGTCGTCTCTTCTGGCATCGCGTCTGGAGGATCCGCGGTCGCGATCCCACTCTCTATCCCCACCACGCCTCTCGCGTCCAGAGTATCTGTCCTCACGCTCGCGCTCGCGATGGCTGCGACTTGTCGCGTAGCTGTCCTCGTCCTCGCGACGTCTGGAGCTTCGGTCGTAGGGGGAACGGGAACGTCTTCGGTCTCGGTGTCTGTCTCTATCGCCACCCCGTCTATCATCACGCTCCCTCTGCATCAAGTGTCAGCTTTTAATGCAAGTACTTCATTGTGAGTGATGGACACGTACCGGAAAGTCGCGAGATCCCTTTCCTCGACCTTTTCCCCCGAAGGCGTTTGTTAGACAGAGGCACAGATACAGATAGGTGTCTCAGACGTCGTGCAGACTTACCACGAGAATAGCCGTCGCCGTTCATGATTGCGATTGCACGTGGCGTGATAAGGCTAATCGTAAATGATGGTCAACCAGGTGAGAGAAGGCAATTGGCGATGGAGTTGAAGATTGCCGCGTGAGGCAGAGGCGCAGTCGTCCAGTCCACAGGCGCGAGGCTGGAACTTTTTTCCCTGAAGAGGTCAAGCTCTGAAACTGTAATACGATTGGCCAAAAGCTCTGGTCGAAGTGGACCTGTCCAGACCTCTGGGCCCGCTTGAGGTGCCTCCTTCCGCGCTAAGGTTATCCCCGGTCGAAGTGCGTTAGTCAGCAGACACTATCCAGTGTCAACAGCGTCAGACACTGGCGACTTGTTTTCGTGGACTTTGGTCTTCTCATTTCAGCCTTACCTGACCTGAAAATTCTCAGAAATTTGGGCCATTGGTCTCAATACTCTCAAGAAACTCCGCCTTCTGATATAGCCGAAATTCCCTTCCATGTTCTCGAAATATTTCCCTTTCCAGACACTGCTCCGCGCATACAATATCTGCTTCCTTTGATACATCTCCGCAGACGACCTGACTTGTTTCCAATCAGTCGCTATGAACTCCTCCCGAGACTCGATCAAGGATTTAAATTTCACTTGATTGTCTTCTTGTGACGTCTGCTTCTCTTCAGGGGACGACTTCTCACCGATATTTCAGCTCGCTCCTTTCGCTTTTATCGCCAACGCCTGGTGTAAGAGTTGGTGGTTTAGCAACCACCACTTAACCATTCCCTTCGAACATCTTCCCGGAGACTCACTGCGCATGCGGCTGACCTCGAACTTTACTTCCTCCGGACCCTACGTACCTAAGTTGCAAATACCAGAGAGTCTCAAAATACCGTCAGCCGCTGGGCGTCAGGGAGCTGGTCTGTGCAGTAGCTGAGCTCTCGTCCAAGCAGAATCCTTACGCGCTTTGCCTCCGGCAGCTTCTATGTCAAAGAGCTAGAAACTAAGGCATGGCTTCGGTGTCGATTCTACTATCAGTCGCGAACACTGGTTGTCTTTATGGGGAAGCTCTTCAAGAAACATGCTCCACCGTGCAGAGGCCAGCGTCACTCTATCCAGGATTTCTCACGGTGTGATGACCGGGACCACGCGGGTACTCCATCTCGACATTCCTCGAGTATGAACTCAGCCAAAAGTCTGTTCTTCAGCTTGGTATCTGCTTCTAGGCTCGATCACACGGCTCAGCCACGCAGTCAGCAATTTTAAACACTACAAGCCACCACTTATAATGTTAAGTCTGGTGCCGTTGTCCCGCACCTCGGCACCACCATCCTGCTCGCGGCTTTCACTTTGGACATCTTCTTAGTATGGACGACAGCCGTTCCCAGATGATCCGAAACCAAGGGAGGATGGCCAGCTACTTTTCCAAACATTGTCTTTCTCTCAGCCCTGGATCTATTCCCCAAAGCCCGATGCTCGCCGCTGGTGCAACACTAAGACCCTGCCAATGTCTTAGCGTCTGCATTGTCCGGACACAACTTGTCTTAATCGGGACGTTAGTTGTTTCTTCAGTTTCTTTCCAAGACAAATCTTGCTGTATCACCGCAGCAAAGCCGCCTGGCTGGTAACCTTTGAAATGGGCACTACACTAGGTTTAATCTACAATCAAGGGATATTGGTAAGTGTATTTGTGAGTAGCGCAGCCACTCCAACAGCCTCATTTCAGATACCTATTCATGGTGCAAAGTTTCGGACCTTCTTCGTCTGGTCTGGCTTACTGCGTCCTACCACATGGACCGCTGGGCCGGACTCCTCACAGGTAACTCAGCGAGGGACCTTAAACATGTATGGTTCTGCTTCCCTGAATGGTCCTCCCTGTAGGACAAACGCCACCAAACATTGCTCAGGTGAGAGCCGGTCGAGCGCATTCAAAGTCTGGGCTAAGGTAGCAAACATGTATGAAGCCGCCGGTTCTCATGGTATGATAGAAGACCTTCATGTTCACCAAGGGGCCTCTGGCGGCAGTCCATCTCAAAGTCCCTTTCTTCTAGTGATAACTATCCTTTCCGCAGGATCGTTTCTGGCACTGGCTTGAGTCAACCCAGCTCGGCCATCTGCTCCATATCACATCCTGGGATCGAGTATTTCTCTGGATTTCATCAAATGAATCTTTCGCTGTGTTGGCCTACTCCAAACTTTTTCAAGTATCACAGGAAAATTGCACGTTGCATTTCAACTCATGGTTACGCCATATTCGGTACTTCGCACGTATGCCTAATGTTGGCAAACGCTTCGATATCCTTGGGAGCCTTTGTCTCTATAGTATCTTATCTACAAGCGAAGGGCGCGGCGAGAAAATCCCTTGCTCTGAAGACTCGTCTCATCGATTGACGTTCAATGAAGGATGTCTTGAAGGGCGACGGTTATCCAAGACTCATGGCTGCATGGATGTCCGCCACTTTCCTTTCTTCCGGTTATCGGGCCTGGAGCATAGCCAAACCGAGAGCTATAAGGCAGCTCTGCCATGTGGGCACCAAGCCAACGGGTCTCTCATGCATGCTTTGGGCGGAGTTCTCGAGCAGGATGCAGACTGATGGTCTCAGCCATCGGGCCCGAGTCCCCCGCCCCAGCCCCATCGTCAGCCCGGTCCGGCGTGTACATGAGGATGTTTGCCGCAATAAGTATTGCCATGGGCCCTTCACACGTTACATCCCCCCTCCTCCTTCGAGCTGTTCCCTCTTCTGGTGTCTCTACCGTTACCATTGCTTGGTCCCAGTCTCAATCTTGTGATTGAACAATACAGCTTCCTGATAAGATGCGGCCTTTCACGCTAGGAGTTGCCGCTGTGGCGGGCCTAGTAAATGCGCAGGTGCTGCCGACAATAACAATCTCGCCTTTCCTTACTTCTACGACGTCTAGCTCTACGAATACTGGGACGCCAGCAGTGGCCTCTGCGACGGGAATGGCTTCTGCTGCTGCTGCGCAGACGCATACTATTGCCGTCGGAGCGGTAGGTGAATGGGACCCAATGAATCGTTTCACGTTAGCTAAACTGCTGCAAGTCTGGGTTTGCATTCTCACCTGCAAAGACGGAAGCCAATGTCGGCGATACCATCGAATGGATCTTCTATCCCGATGCTCACTCGGTTATTCGCGCCGAGTTTGGATTTCCTTGCACGCCATACGAGTACATTGACATTGGCCGCGAGGGGTTCTACAGCGGAAACCAGTCGGTCAAGGCCATCACGAACGATGTTAGTACGGCACATAGCATTAGGCTTGCGATGGGGACTAATATGATCTAGATGCCACGGTATAGAGTTCGCGTCAACGACACACTTCCGATCTTTTACTACTGTGGTGCTCCCGGTTCGTGCTACAAAGAGAAGATGATAGGTGTGATCAACGAGGTAAGACGAACCCCCAAGGATGCCAAAATATTCATGTATACTCACAAAGTCTTCAGAACTCAACCCAGTCCCTCGACAAACAGCTTGAAGCGGCCCTCCCATTGACCACCCAGATTCTTCCTGGCGAACCCTTCCCAACTGAATCAGATGCACCAAAGGCAACCAGCGGCGGCTCCAACAACGGGGCCGTTATTAACAACTACCATCACAGTGTGAGCGGCGGCCAAATCGCCGGTATCGTGATTGGCTCACTAGCTTTTCTTCTCCTGGGAGGCCTATTGGTATACCTGTGTGGGCGACGAGGCGGTATCAACCGCGCCTACAAGAGAACCCCAACCGCGTACCAGGCACATCCCCCGCCGCCATCTCAACCCGCCGTCACGGAGCTCAACTACTCGATGCAGCCCAAGAGCCCATCGACTCAAGGATGGAGAAACAGTCACTACAGCAACTTCAGCGGTCCCTACCGTGACCACGCCACTCCCACAGCCCAGTTCTCCCCTCAACTAAGCCCCCAGCCTACGGGATTCTCACATCCCGTCAACGGCTTGCAGACCTACTAGTAAGTCTCCTCAGATCTCGCTGCTGACCGTTCTCGGCTTTTGCTGACTTAGGTCCCAGCGACCACCGGATCTCGTCCATAGCTCCTAGCGTCGTTGTCGAAGCCCCGGACAACCAGGCGACAACTCCTGCTGCGACCCATGCAGCACCCGCCGCTGCGCCAGTCGAGTTACCAACGGCGACAGACTCGGGTAATTCTCCACCACCCAAATACATGCCACGTTTCTCATTCGCAGGGCAGGAAAGTGAATACCGACCATCGACAAAGGAGTGATCTTTGTGAGAGTAAGAGGGCCGGTAAATCTAGAGGAAATAATGACAAAGCATGGGCGATAGAGCGGCAAGCTCAGTCAATGAGGCGTTAGTGGTATGATGACTTGGTAAATGTCTTGAGTTTTGATTGGAAGAATGAGCTTGAGTCTTTGTCAAACGGCCAATATCTCATTTATACTTGAGGGGTGCCGAGATGCCCGTTAAGCGCGAAACTTATTCGTACTTGGTAGTTCGAATAGCGGCCGCTGAGCATGAAAGATATCCAGGCCATGATCTAGGTTTCTCTTTTCACGTTTCGTTTTCCTAGTCCATCGTCGTTGTGATTCAAGTGATGAAGTTCCAATAGGTCTGGAAGCGCAGCCCAGCGACGTGTTAAGGAGCCGAGGTTGTCAAGCTGTGGCTTGCCATGGCGATTCAGACAGCTCAAGCCAGAGGGGTCAGGGAATTAGATCAAGCCATTTCATTGGTGGCAGTGCCCACTTGGTCTCTCCGAGAAAAACTTGGGGAAAGGAAAAATTCCCTTCAAAGTTTCGTACTCGTCAATCAATCCAAGTTTTTAATTGCACTCACAAACTTTCCACTGTCATTGCATCATTTGTTTCGAGCATGGTCTCGCGCCTTTGTTCCGGGCAAAGCTGTGCCGTCAAACTGACAAACCCCCAACCACAACAAACATTGCTTCCACCTTGGCGCTCAGGAATTCGAGCAAACACGGGGGGGACACGGAGACTCGCATAATAGACCCGCAATCCAGCGACTTTCGGCGCAACCCAGGACCCGTAACTCAGTTGGTTAGAGTGTGATGCTTATACTTCGTGATCACTACGGCAGTATGCCTCTTCAAAGTCGAGAGTTCGAACCTCTCCGGGTTCAAAACTTTTGATTATTTTATTTTCATTCAAGATTTATTTACTCATTCGAGTGATTTATCTACTTTTGACTTCAAGGAACCCCTCCAGCAAGTCTTGGGCCTGTTTTGCCGCGTTAAAGGTGGTTTATCATTGTAAGTGGGCGAGATTAGCGTCCCACCTGTTGATGCCGAAATGCTGCGGGCAATCCTATCAAATTGCAGGCTCCCGATCTATGTCGATCCAGCTTTTCAAACTATTTGTATTCACAATTTCACTTCGATCGAGCCGCGATAATGCTCGAGTGAAGTCTCGCATGTACTCCACCGCACGACGGGCAGGCCGTTCGTGGGCTTCGAACGGACAGTTGAGTAGCGTTACGGCTACATCGCGAACTTTGTACGCCTGGAGAGATGTGATTAGAGATCGAACTTTGCATGAGCTGGGATCAAGTGTGGAGCATACCAGGTAGAGACCGTTAGGTTCAAGGTGAACGTATGGGATGCTGTGTAGCAAGTGCAGCATCTGACGGCAAATGTCCTCACGTTCGGCCCAGTTCGCTTTCAGGGCCGCCGACACTTCCTCACGTGCAGTCGTCGAGGGGTTGGCAATCGCGCTCTCTTGAGTGACACCGTCGACTTGTTCCAGCAGCAAGCTCTGCAGCCACAGATGCGTAACATGGATGTTAGCTCTCATGATCTCGGCTTGGCCCTGAATCACCTGTGAGTAGGACCCGGCTTCTGGAGCACGGCTATAGTCACCCGGGCTACCATAGCTCGACACAGCAGCTGCACCTCTTTCATCGTCAAACCGCGGCGTGCTGGGGGCCGCATCGGTAACCCCATCATTGGAAGCCCATTGCCGCATGGGGCCCGGGACATCGTCGAGCATGTATCTCATCTCTTGGAGAAGATCGCGCATGCGCGCAAGACGGGCGGTGGGGGTGCGACGGAGCTCACACTCGCAGCCCAAGGTGGCTATGGCTTCTTGTAGACCTTTGTGGAACACTCGAGAGTGGATGATGAAGCCGCTGGTGAGTGTGAATGTAACTCGGGGTTCCTGAGTATGGGCGGATGGTGTCCCATGCGATGCCATTGGGGAGACGGGGTCTAGGATCCTGTCTCTGAAGATGTGTTCATCGTCGACGTCAAGGGGCATGAGAGCTTCGTAGTTGACCTCACGTAGCTCACCAGGCCCAAAGTATGTCAGCCGCTCCCAGCGTCCTGCTTGAACTCTGGTATGCCTAGTAGTTGTTAGTCTTTTGTGATTGGAGTAGCATACCAGGGATGGAAGTATGGCTTACGCGTAGCCATAGAAGAGCATCCAGAAGGCCTTCTTCCGTAATTGGGTCTCGATGCAGTTGAGACCCTCATACTCGGAGATGCGATGTAGCCCAAGAAGTCGCGAAACTTGTAAGTACTCCACATCGAACATCCGGCTGCGGTTGACCTGACCCGTTTGAAAACAAGCGACGGAAAGGACGTAACACACTGCCCATTTCCGATGGTTGATGTGGTCCCAGTAGTTCGCAGTCCGTTGTCGAGTGCAGATCTCCGCGCAACAGTTGATCATTGCAGTTCTGTTCTCGAAGCGCATCGCAGCTTCGGGGTCAACTGCCCTATAGTCGCGGAAACGCGACGGCAGTAGCCCAACTGTGAGCGCGGCCAAACTCATTAGGACAGCAAAGAAGTCGGGATCGGTGATGTCCCGGTTTGTGGCCAGATCATGACGGAAACTGGGCCGATGGACGACAGGAACAAGCGGGTAGACTAAGTCGAGGTAATCTGCCATCAAGATGTGTATAAGTGCTCTTGAGCACAATTCATCTGTTGGGAACCCTGCGCCGGCTACCGAGGGCGATTCAGTCTGAGCTGGGACTGCGGCGCGCGGAGATGGGCCATGAAGGACAGGATGGGACGGCTCATAAGGAGACCTGGCTTGTGAAGGTCTTGAAGGAGGAGTTTGGCCTGGCAAGACGAGGACAGGCTCAATGCTCACTGAAGGCTCAGGAGCTTGCTGGGACTGCTGCGCGACAGTCTCTACATGATGAGTCTCCGCTTCATTGGGAAGCTCACTCTCGCTCCTATCAGACATTGATGGGAGGCGTTTCCTGCCGAGCCAGTAAGTGAGTGACTCTGGGCAGAAAGTATAGACAGAACGAAACCCCCCCTGCTACCCCGGATCTTCATACCTTCGTTTAGGCCCCCGCGGCCTCGTGGGCACCAGGAAGCTGCATGGTATACCGAGTCTGCAGCAATCATGACACTGCGGCGGAGACGGGCCATCAGTATGGGGCGAAGACCCGTCAAAGTGGCATTTTCTCCTTCGAGCACGACAAGCGTCGCACGCTCTGCTAGCGATGCTCGATCTCCCCGCTGCCGTCAACGATAAGCCAGTAGTCTCATCTGGCGTTTTGCTACGAGCCCTTCGAATCGCATTTGGCGAGACGCTGACGGACGCAGCTTGAGTGCTCGAGCGACGGCGCATGCTGGTGGAATTCGGACCGATAGGGACGGTGGTGCCGCGCCCATCCTGTCGGGATTTCTGGAAAACGTGGAGAGGGAAAATGAGGGGGAGAAATGTGAAGAATGCGGAGAAATGGGATGAAAGGGGGGTGATATGCTCCCTTTTAGTGTTACTGGATCCCCACGCTAATTCCCATGGTAAATGGGACTTGATGGAGGCGCGTTATGGCCCTGGCCGATAATTTCTGGGGTCCCCAACCGATTTTCCACTCTCGAATGGGGTTAGACATGGGATGGCAGCTTTGCGCGTGATCGGAAGACGTTTTACCACCAGGGATGACTCGGGCAACGCCCGAAGTCTATTGATGGGTGATCGCGGCGAAAGGCCGACAGGCTGAGATTAGATCCGTCAAGTGGGATGGCACGACTCAAATTAGCATACAGAGGTTCTCGAGTGGAACCGTTGACGTGAAGTTCTGCGTAGAAATCTTCAAATCACCAAGATTACTCAGAAGACACATTCCTCTGCCAACTGCTTTGATCATCATCATTTATATTCAACTTTGAAATGTGCTCGCATGAGCAGAACATGCGTTATAAGGCGTTTTTAATCCTCGTCTCAACGCATGATGTCTAATATCCCAACCATTTATGTACAGAATGCATGTCTAAGTCTATTTGTCTATGCCCTCAATCCCCTCCATTTCCTCGACTTCTCCACCTTGATGGTCTTCTCGAGGAATTCTCCACGACTGCTGGTTCCCACGAGGATGCCGTAGGAACCGGCGTCGCTACGCCAGCAGTCTTCCATCTCGCTCCAGTAGCTCGTCGCACGCAGAACGTCTAGAGAGATCTCCGCCGTGGCGCTGGCTCCGGCTTCCAGCGTTACCTTTGCGAAGCCCTTCATCTCCTTCTTGGGACGAGTAATGGTGTCCCGAGTCGTGCTAGTCAATGGCGTGCGTGCCGCCGGTGTAACGTAGACCTGGACGACTTCGGAACCGGCACAAGGGCCCGTGTTGGCGACCTTGACGCGGACGGTGATGTTATCCGCCTCCTGGATCGTGATTGTGTTGTCGCCATTGGCGTGACCGTGAGTCTCGGCCGATGTATCAGACACCTCGAGATCGGAGACCGCGAATGTCGTGTAGGAAAGGCCGTGTCCGAAGGGGAACAGGGGCTCAATATCGAGCGTGTCATACCAGCGGTAGCCGACGTAAACATCTTCACTATACAAGCAACGGCCATTATCTGAGCGGAAGCTTAGTGCTGCGGGGTTGTCTTGTACTCGGCGCGGCATCGTAAGAGGAAGCTTTCCGGCCTGCAATGTAGTGTGTTAGTAGGGTAACTTCACGCTTTCCGATAGTACCTGAGATAACTTACCGGGTTGACCTCTCCGAAGAGTACATCCGCAATGCCGTTACCAGACTCGTTGCCACCGAACCAAGCATGCAAGACGGCGCCGGCCTGATCGATCCAGGGCATGGAGACCGGCGTACCACTCTGAACGACAACAGCCGTGTTAGAGTTCGCCGCCAGCACAGCAGCAACAAGCTCGTCGGTGCCAGGAGGCAGAGCCATCGTCGTTCGGTCGAATCCTTCAGACTCCCACTCGCCGCTCAAACCGGTGCACACAACGACCTGATCGACGCTCTTGGCGACCTCCACGGCCTCCTGAATTGCGATAGCAGGCTCGAGCTTAGGGCAGCCACTGAAGCGGACGCCGCCCTGGCCAAAGTCAACGGTGCCGGAGGCCTTGACCTTGCTGGTGGCCGAGCAACCGAAGCGCACCAGGACGCGGTAGCTTCGTCCGGCTTCCAGGTGCATGGTGCCCGTCTCCTCGACCGTTCCGCAGCCGAGGAAACTGCTGCCCAGGCGCTGGTTCTCCACGTTGGAGACGACCAGCTTGCCGTCGATGAAGAGCTCACCGGTGCCGTGGACTGACAGGCCAAAGTCCCACTCTCCTGATCGCTCGGGGACGAGGGTGCCTTCCGTCTCGGCCCACCAGATGGGATTCAGGTCGGCGTTCTCGTAGTCGACGAACCAGATGTTGGCATCATCGAGGACGCGCTCCTCCAGCGGTGTCCGGCTGTCGGCTGAACTGGCGGTGTCCTTGGGTGGGGGGTCGTTGTAGATGCGGAGCACGAAACCCCTTTGCTTTCCGTTTGGCGTCTTGAGAGCCTTGCCGAGGAGAGGCAGAGACTGGTGACCATAGGCACCTTGTGAGAAAACGACGTCGCTTGCGAGAGACTTGACGCCCTCCAGAGGAGTGACGGTGTTGTAGGCTCTGAGCCCGGCGCTACCACCGCCGCAGTAGGTCGCGATGTTTGCGTTGGGCCCAATGACGGCGATCTTCTTGTTCTTATCAAAAGGCAGAATACTTTTCTCATTCTTCAGGAGTACCAAGGACTTGGCGGCTGCTTCGCGCAGGAGCGCAATGTGCTCTGGTGTGTTTGCCTCGGTTTCCGGGGCGTTCGGCGGGATGGAGGTGTTCTCGAGGCCCTGCTTGACCAGCTTCAAGACGTTCCGCACCGCCGAGTCGAGCTCTGATCGCTTGACCTTATTAGACATGATGGCGTGAGAGAGAGCTCCGGCGCGCCATCTGCTAGGGCCCGGCATCTCGAGGTCGAGGCCGGCCTTGATGGCCTCAGACGTGCTGTAGGTCCCGAACCAGTCGCTCATGACCAGCCCGTCCCACTTCCACTCGTCGCGCAGGATGTCCTGCAGAATCTTCTTACTTTCCGCCGCATGAACGCCGTTGACCTGGTTGTAGGCAGTCATGATCGCTCGGGGTTTGCCCATCTCAACAGCGATCATGAAGGGAAGCAGGTAGATCTCGCGCATGGCTCGGTCGGTCACAATGGCATTGACGGCCATGCGCTCGCTTTCGAGATCGTTGCACACAAAGTGCTTCAGAGTAGCTGACACACCTGACTCTTGGACTCCATTAACGTAGTTGCCGGCGAGGATGCCAGACAGTACCGGATCCTCAGAGTAGGACTCGAAGCCACGTCCGCCTAGGGGGCCACGCTGGGTGTTGATTGTAGGTCCAAGCAGGACGTGGGCGCCCTTTGCGTGAGCTTCATCTGACAGCAGCCGGCCGAGCCTTTGGACGAGTTCGACATCGAATGTTGCGCCGATGGCAGTTCCGCACGGAAGGCACGCGGAAGGCGTGCTGTCGAAGAAATGTGTACCGCGAACGCCATTAGGGCCGTCAGAAAGACGGATCGGCTTGATTCCCAAGCGCTCGACTGTTGCAGTGTGCCACCAGCCAACGCCTTTGATCTACTTGTTAGAGTTGAGTCCGAGTGATAGTTGTTGGTAACTGACCAGCTGTGAGTGAGATCTTCTCCTCCAGTGTGAGCTGTTCAAGAAGTGCTTCGACATCCATGATGAAACGTGTGACAGGAAGCTGGTCTTGGGAGACAGTTTAGACGGCGAAGAGACAGGTAAATTACAACAACAAGATCCGAACTTCGTCTGAAGAAGAACAGAGAAGATACCAGCAATTGACCAAGGGAGGGATTGAGCCGATCGACGGGCGCTTCTCTTTATTCCGAGAGCCCAGAGCCAACGCGGGGAGCCCAAAGTCTCCAGCATGGTCTCTGTGTCTCCCCTCGACCGCGGGGTTCTGATCCACATGTCGGGCATAAAGAATCGCATTCCAAAGGCCATGACGTAGTAACGCTTGAATCAGTGAGTTTTCTGGGTCTACACTGTCCACTTTACTGCTTCAGAGTCGCGTGGATGGTGAACCGACGCGCCGACAATCTGGTCAGGATGGGGAAACGGTTTCGAAGGCGGAGAAATAGAAGAAATGGCTTGAAAGCCGGCCTCAACTGCCATGGCTTAGTGGGGTGAGGCACAGGGCATTGCATGGTCGAAGCAGATTCAGCTGTGGAAAAGCCAACGTTAGTCAAGAACATATTTCTCCGCCTCATTGTTAGTCCCCTTAGTCTCCTGACTCTTGAAGACCTCAACTCTGACTATTCCCGTCACATCAAAGCATGGACTGACTCAATTCTCCGCCCCCGTGTCCTCCTTTCTCCAGACCAACCTTACGACCTTACGACTACTTCGTAAACCACTTTTTACCAATGTTTGTCAAGTGGGTCGTATGGGCCCCCGCGACGGCCTGCATTGGAAGCGTTTTCTCCATGGGGCGTGACACTGGAGAGTTCTGGCCCCTCCCCAATCCCCAATTCGACTCAAATCTGCGTTCCGGACGAACACGCGACGACCGGGGCATCGGGATGCCATGCTCCACCACCTCGGTTTTTTTTTTCGTACGCAAATCGCAAGCCAGATTCTGACTTGTTTCCCCTGTTGTCACTTGTGAAGGGAGTGTCAATTGTATATAGACCTTGCCCTCTTCCCCCCCTGGACTGTGTGATGTGACCCTGCTTCACGGCGCTCGCAGGCTCTAAAGAGTCCAGACAACTGAACGACAGTATCTTCAAGAGTTCCTCTTTGGATCCGGAAACTCCTGTATCTTCTCCTTTTGCCAGCTTTTACTCCGACTCTGATAACCCAACGTCAACATGGGTAAACCTGTCGAAGACCTGGCCGTGATCCCCGGCGATGACCTCCCTTGGTGGAAGCACGCACACTTGCGGAAGCTCAACTTCATCACATTGTCTATGGTGTTGTTTTGTGTGTAAAATCGGCGCAGCAAAGAGTGACTTGTGGTAGCTAACTTTGACTTCCACAGCGTCTGCCAACGGTTACGATGGATCCATCATGGGCGGTCTCCTCGCCCTACCTCGATGGAACGCCTTTACGCACAACCCCTCCGGCGCATACCTTGGTTGGATCACAGGTATCTACTGGCTCGGAAACGGTATCGCCTTCCCCGTCGCCGCCATGTGCTCCAACCGTTGGGGTCGTAAGCCTGGCATCTACGTCGGATACTTGTTCCTGGTTCTCGGTGTCGTCATGCAAACGGCAGCTCAAAACGAAGCGACATTCACCTACTCCCGTCTCTTCATCGGTATCGCCGCCTCGTGGCTCGGAAACTCTGCCCCTCTCTTGATCAACGAGATCGCCCACCCAAAGCAACGATCTATCGCCAACGCTCTGTTCATGGTCGGCTGGTACTTTGGTGGCACCCTCTGCGGTTGGGTCACCTTTGCCTGCCGTAACATTGCCTCGGACTGGTGCTGGCGTATCCCCGTCGTCCTTCAGATTGTCCTTCCCTTCGTTGCCTTGCCCGGCTTCCTCTTGTCGCCCGAGAGTCCCCGTTGGCTGATTAGTGTTGGACGTGTCGAGGAGGCCACCGAGATTCTGGCCACCCACCACGCAGGTGGCAACAGAAACGACCCCTTGGTGACCTACCAGGTTGTTGAGATTCAGGCAACCATCACCGCAGAAAAGGAGGCTTCTTCTAGCGCTTCTTATATGGATATGATCAAGACACCAGGAAACCGTCACCGTCTCTTTATTTCTGTTACTCTCGGTATCTACGCCCAATGGGCTGGTAACGGCGTGGTGTCATACTATCTCCGTGAGTTTTGACCGAGAACATCGCATTTCTTGTCTCAATAGCTAACATCTGCCCAGCTCGTACGATATTCCATCCTTTCGACACCTTTCTATAGGTGGTGCCGAACAGACTTTGCTAACATCTGTCTAGTCATCCTGAACTCGATTGGAGTCACGTCGGTTACGAACCAGACCTTGATTTCAGCTTGCTTGAACGTCTGGAACCTGCTGTGGGCAATCGCTGCCGCCACCAGCGTCGATAAGCTGGGTCGCCGTTTCCTGTTCTTGACTTCTGCTAGCGTCATGTTGGTGAGCTTCATCATCATCACTGGCCTCAGTGGTTCTTTCGCCACGACCCAGTCGTCAGCAATCGGATCCTCGGTCATCCCATTCTTGTTCATCTTCTTTGCTGGATACGACATTGCCATGTAAGTCGCTGTCTTTTTTCTGAAGCGCTAGCCCCAAATTCGCGAGAACCTACCAGTCTTCTCAAGAGAACAGTCGCTTACATGTCACAGGACTCCCTTTCTCACGGCCTACCCTTGCGAGATTTGGCAGTTCAGCCTTCGATCCCGGGGTCTCACCGTCACCTGGTGCTCAACCGTCATCGCTATCTTCATCAACACCTTCGTAAACCCCATTGCTTTGGAGGCTATTCACTGGAAGTACTACATCGTCTTCATCGTGATGCTTGCTCTTCTTTGGATCACCGTCTTCTTCGCCTACCCTGAGACTCGCGGACACACCCTGGAGCAAATGGCTGTCATCTTTGATGGCGATGATGCTGCGGTGCCTCCTGCAGCTGCTGTGAGCGAGAAGACTGAGGCTTTGGTTACTCATGGAGATGATGAGGATAAGAGACAGTACCAGAGCGATGCTGAACACAGAGTTTGAGGCATTGCGTTTCGCAAAGCAAGAAGCGTTGAAGCCTCAAGTAAATACCCATTTTGCATTTAGTATAGTGATAGTACTACGCAATACATCTAATTCAAGATTACATGTCACATTTGATGACTTATACGCAGCTCCAAATATTTTTCAGTGTTAAACCCTGGCATCGTTTTGGTGTGTAAGTTTGATGTTGAATTGCTGGCCCACATTCCGATATCAAGCCTGCCGACGAGTAAAGAGCAAGTAGCTGTGACAGTTAGAAAGAATGGAGAACACAACAACTATGTTGCCAATTATGGTAAGTGACTATTGGCTTGGATGCAGCGTGACGAGCGATGCTATTGGTGCATTATGCATGTTACCTGCACGAACTAGGATTCACGACACTCAGCTAGGTCCTTAAAGTCAGGCACCCGGCCCAAACGGAATAACCGTTGATTATCGTACGTGATCCGCATACTTTCCGGACCGCTCTGCTGCTCCTCGGCAGGAAAATTCCCCGATAAATACAGTATCTCAAGCAAAGGCCCCCAAAGTTCAAGGCAGCAGACTCACCACGCAGCATGTCCATCCGGCTCATCGATACGGATACTCTCCAGCTGAAGCTCTTCACCGCAAGTCTCGCGCCAGCTTATGCTATCCTCTCGCATACATGGATCGAAAATGAGGAGATCAGCTTCCATGAACTCACGCAGATTAGCGAAACACCAGATCACAAGGCATCAGAAAAGTCTGGCTATAAGAAGATCCTCGCAACATGCCGTGAAGCCAAGGCCAACGGCATAGAGTATGCTTGGGTCGACACCTGCTGCATCGACAAGACGAGTAGTGCCGAGCTCGGCGAGGCAATCAACTCCATGTTCCGCTGGTATCGTGATGCCGAAGTATGCTACGCCTTCCTCTCGGACTGGCCTGCGGCCGATGATGGCGGCGAGTCTACCGATGACGCTCTAAAGGACTGCAGATGGTTCACCCGCGGCTGGTGTCTCCAGGAACTCATCGCGCCTAAGGTTCTTCGATTCTACGACGAGAAATGGAACTTCCGAGGACACAGATCAGACTTCAGAGACTCCATTTCTAGGATCACGCGGGTGGACGCGGACGTGCTAGGGGACTGCACACTCCTGGAGTCGAAGCCGGTGGCGCGCAGGATGTCATGGGCATCGAGACGAATTACAACGAGGATTGAGGATGTTGCCTATTGCCTCATTGGAATCTTTGACGTCAATATGCCGATGCTCTATGGCGAGGGCGACAGGGCTTTTCTACGCCTACAGGAGGAGATTATCCGGCGTTCTAACGACATTTCCATATTTTGCCACGCGCCGCTGCGACCTGAATCGACGACACAATTATCAAGGGAGGAAGAAATGCCGCGAGATCTTTCGGGCCTCTATTTCTGCGACATGCTGGCCAAGTCTCCAGAAGCGTTTTCTGAATCCAACAGCATCTCACGTATTCGAGGGACGTTGCTCGACGGCCGAGAGTTTTCCATGACCAATCGCGGAATCCGATTCGGCCGGCGTCGGTTTTTCGAGGTTCCGGAGATCAACTGCCTGGGAATGAAGCTTGACTACGCTGCTTCTTCAGATTGCAAGAACCTAGAGATATTCAATGTCTTTCTTCGGAAAGTCGGTCCGAATCTATTTTCAAGGGCATTGCCTATAGGAGCAAAATATCGACACACACGTGTGGAACTGGATGACACCCGCAGAACCATGTTGGTAGAAAAGGACGCCTGCGTGATCTCTAGAGTGACACCGTCTTTTCAGAAGCAGATACAAGAGTCTGTCACTAGAAGAGTTGATGTGCATCTAAAGATAATACAGAATCACGAAGAGCATCTCAAATTGCGAGTCGTGGAGGGCTTTCCCCCAGATCGTTGGGATAGTCTAAACAGGAAGTTTCTAATACCTAAGGACGCGTCATATAGAACGAGCCTGCGGATTAGAATAACCTTGGGACAAGACCACACCGATGTCTATCTCACCTGTGGTATACCTAGCACCGGTGAAGGGGACGGATGCAAACAGCCATGGACTGCATTCTCTACCTCTGATAGTCGACAGTTGTGGTACAGTGGCAAATGGGGAGATGAGGATGAAAGTGAGATGGCACAAGTCACTGCCCAGTACCTTATAAGCAACATGAAGGTATTGCTCAAGGCTCGGATCTGCCAGGAACCTAGGAACGTATGGGGTTCCGTGCCATTCACGTGTATAATCGAGGCTTATCTAGCGCTGTAATTTGGCCGAGGGCAAACCTAACTTCTTTTTGCATCCTTCACTTGAGAAGTAGTGAAGTTGACTTGCCAGATGAATGTCTGCTGTGTGGTAGTATCGACAAAACAGTCTTCCTGGCATCTAACTTGTAGCCCACGTGAAGTCATCGGCTACTTGGATGCATCCGACATTGAATCCTGTCACTAATCACTTTTGACTTGCAAGGTGTACTATCTAAACTATCTCAAGCCCTCTGTCTTTGCGACAGCCGTTTTGCCCGCTTGCTGCAGAGCATCCCCAAGGTCCTTGGGCATACTGAGGAACGGTGAGTGGCTGGCCGAAAGGCTAGCCGTGAAAGAGCTGGGAGAAAATTGAGAGGCCATCATGATCTGCAAATCAAGCGGTATGGCCTGGTCATTCTCAGCAAAGATGTAGCCCATCTCAAAGCCTTCATTCCAGGGTTCGAAGCCGGACTTGTCTTGGAAGGTCTTGAAAGGCTGAGGACGTAGGGCCTCGACGGCCTTGGCGGCGAGAGCGGGCTCGACATCGGCGTAAAATACGGAGATCGGATCGAGAGGTGAGATGAAGCCGTCCTACAAAGCGAGAGTGATGAGCTAGTGTCGCTAACTTTCCGGAGCCTGCATGTGAGGGTTGTCCCACCTTGACGTCCCACCAAGGCACTGAGCCCGCGCCGTCGGAAAGAGCTGACCCGGCACCAATGGCAAAAGAGGCCATGTACACGACCATGAGAACGCCGCCCGTCTTGCTCTGCGCAACTCGATCCTTGTAGTTCAAACCCTCTACTGCGTTCGCAGTAGGGACACCGCCATAGGAATGCGCAACCACGACAACCTCACGCCCGTCGTCGACGAGTTTCTGCAGCTCGGTGCGGACGGCTGCCGTATCTTGCTCCAATCCCACGTTCGCATCGGTGCTACCCACGCCGGCCAGTGTAACCGTTTCAGTACTGAACCCCCGGCCGTGGAGGTCATCGCGTAAAAGGTCGAAAGACCATGGTCGATGCCAGGCGCCCGGTACCAGAAGAAAAGTGGGAGGCGTACGATAACTCATTGCGTCGGTGATGGTTGCCGTCTCGAGGAGTTGACTTAGGTTGAAGAGGATCTGGCTGAACTTGGTGGTGAGTGAGAGGGAGAACTGAGATGAGGAAGCTTGATCGGGTAAGAGACCTTGATCAGGGGAACACCATGTTACTTATTATTCTATTGGGCCGGTAATTGAATTTGGAAGGTGTTCATCCCCTGTTGCTTTCTTCAGTATGCGGGATATGAACCAGAGACCGGCGATATTGGGGCGCATTTACGTCCAGATGGGCCCTATTTCGTGGGATTCGAGCTAGGGCACCTGGTAAGTCTTAGCTTGCTTGTGTTGGTTGGTGACTTGGTGTGGATATCGCACGACTCAAGCAAGCTACAGTGACATTTCCAGGACCGCCCAAAACATGCCATTTTTTTGCACTACGACCAACTCTTAGGGTCCTTGTCACAATTCCCTTCATGTCCAATTGGTGATACTTGACAAGCAAGACGAACACCAACCAGTCGTTATGTGGGCCGGTGGGTTGATGTTCCAACGGATGGTGTAATAGGTAGTCGGTGGTCCCAGGTTGTGCCCGGATCGTGGAAAAATCAATCTCGATTTTGTACCTGGCGGCCCCAGTTCCCGGGCGCAAGAACCAGGGCCAAGAGCCTAGTTCTGTTGCATCTTCCTATTATGAATCGAACCGAGTTATTGGCCAGCATGGAACGGCAAGTCTCGGTTTCCGGCTGGTCACACATAAACATGACTATTGTCTGGCTCGGGCACCCAATACAAAAAAAAAGTGTGAAAGTCTAACCTGACAAATGTCTGTTCTTTCTTTTCCAACTCAGACACGGAATTCTTCACAGAGCCGGAGGCAAGATGGCCTCTTTGCCAGTTCCGGATGGCATAGATCTCAGCGAGTCCAGAGTGGCCAGCATCATTGGTGCTCTCAGTTGCACATGGGCACTCGCTGCCATCGCGGTTGTGCTTCGGTTTCTTGCCCGACGAATACAATCCAATAAGCTTTGGTTGGAGGATTGGCTGATCACTGTTTCCTTGGTATGCAACAAAAAGCCGTGGCCTTTTGATTTTCCAACTTTACTTGACGATAAAGTGCACGAGGAGACAGTGCATGTTCGCTGACAGTTCAACTTTAGACCGCAGCAGCTGTGCACGTTTTCATAAGCATAGGATACAGTAAGTCAACTCCATGAAGTCCCAGGCCCCAGTTCAATTATCAAGAGCCCAAATTTGATTGCATACCAGTACTAATCATCTGAATGTTTTGTAGTGATACCAAATGGTACTGGTAAACACATTTGGGTAGCACCAACTTCAGCGACAAGAGCGTGGGCAATTGGTCTTTTCGTATCAGAAGTAGCGTACACGGTGACTCTATCAACAGTCAAGTGGTCGACATTGGCGCTCTATTGGCGAATATTCAATGCCCGTAAAAGCATCAGATATTACATCTGGGCTATGGCTGGCATCGTCTTAGCTTGGTTTATCGCTGTTGTATGTTGGAAAATCTCGACTCCGAGAGCGAGCTCGGCCTGAAAATCTCTCCGAACTTCACTGACAAAGCTGGCAGATTCTTGTTACGATCTTTCAATGTCTCCCTGTTCATGCCTTCTGGGCCCGCTACGACGCAGTCAACCCCCTGTCGTCTGGTCAATACACATGCAGTGTAGATGTCAAGATGTTCTTCAAGGGAAACTCTATTCCCAATATTATAACGGATGCACTAGTTGTGCTATTACCTATCCCCTATGTGTGGAAGCTACAGCTGCACAAAGCACAGAAGTTTGCCCTTGCGGGTATTTTTGCGCTCGGCACTTTGTGAGTGAATCGGCAGTCTGCAATTTGATATCTTCAGGAGAAGCAACAGCTGCTGACAAAAAACGAACAGCGTTACCGTCGTCTCCATGGCCCGGTTGAATGTAATTCTTTCAGTTGACCTTACGTCACCGGACATTACGTGGAATTTCATCGACACCATTATCTGGACTAATGTCGAAGCCAACACAGCTATCATCTGCGGTAGGTCCTCTCGTCTCACGGCCAGCCCAAAACTTTACAATGGAATTCAGCTGACACACTTGCTGAGAACTAGCCTGTCTCCCATGCCTAAAACCGATCCTCAACCTCGCGCTCAACGGCAGACTGAAATCTTCGATCAAGCGGAGTGGTCAGAACTCTGGCGGACAATACATACTCAATGACCGTACGAAACCCAGCACGGCAAATGGAAGCAGTTATCTAGGAGGCTCCGGTACTGGGGCGATGCGGAAAGGCCTTGGTGGCGGCAGCGGTGCCGAGGATGAGCGGCCCTTTACTCGACTCAGTGAACGTGATTCTGAGCCGAGTCTCGATGTCGCAAATGATGACGGTGGGAGTGGACATGAAAGTTTGAGCAAAGGGGGAGTAATTATAGATACCCATGGTGCGAGTGGGAAATCAGGTTTATAATTATCGTCACACTCAGCTTCAATAGACATTTCAAGTAAAGGTTTGCATAGCAGGCCTAGTTTCTGAGAGAATTGCTCCCACACGTATCCGTAAGATGGATTGATTTACCAACTTCTCACAACGTTTGCCCGATGAGCTCCATTTGGTCTGGTGGGTTCAATGTCATCCCCATGCCCGCTGGATGCACGGCATTGGCCATGATCCTTGCTCTGATGTGAGCCCCAGTAGGGAGACCCAATCGAAGTTATCGAACGACAAAAATGGGGCGATAATGTTCCAGGTATGTCTGTTGGTTCTGCATGCAGAATATTTCCCCTCACTACAATATCCCATGTGTTGGACGAGACATCCTGAACAGACTCACTGAACCCCTTATCTACAACCCGCAACATGGCAGAAGAGCTTGCCAGCGAGGCAGTCGCTCCAGAAGCAGTCTTTAGAGTTTCACCGACGACTGCAGATAAAGAGAATGCTGCTGCACCAGTAGCACCAGTTGCATCGGCATCGCCGGCTGCTGTATCGTCACCAGCTGCTACAGCACCAATTGTAGCTGAAGAAGACCCGGACCCATCCACTGATGGCTACGAGAGTGGTGGCGATAGTAGGTCCAATGCCTCGACTTCGCTGTCTTCAAGCGTTCGTGACTATGAATGGGAGAACAAGCGCCGCTACCACAAGTTCAAGCAAGGCCGTTACCTATGTCCAAATGATGAACCCGAACAGGATCGCGAGGATATGAAGCACGCTTTGGTAGTTCACATCTGCGATGGGGGTCTGCATAGCGCGCCTTTAGAGAACCCTCAAAAGGTTCTTGACATTGGTACCGGTACTGGCATCTGGGCTATCGACAGTGCGTAAAGAGACTTGTCAATTGATTTCGGAACGGTATTGGCTGACGAGATGTAAAAGTGGGTGACAACTATCCGGAAGCACACATTACCGGCATTGATTTGAGCCCTATCCAACCCGGATTTGTGCCGCCGAACGTCAAGTTCTTGGTCGATGATGCTGAGGCAGATTGGTTGTACTCGGACAACTCGATTGATTTTATCCACCTGCGGCACATGGCGCCTTTCATCAAGGACTGGCCCAGGCTTTTGCGTCAGGCATACAGGTGAGTTTCACAAAAATACATGGTAGGGAGAGCAATGCTCACTATAGCAGGGTGTTGAAACCGGGTGGCTGGATCGAGCTGCAAGAGCTGAGATGGAGATTCGCCTGCGACGATGACACGATGACGCCTGAATACGCCCCGGCCAGGATGACAAGCCTCATCGAAGAAGGTCTTGGCAAGTTCGGCTTCGAGCTCTACGCATCAGAGACCAACCCGGAACGTCTCAAAGCTGGTGGGTTCGTGACACAAGTTCACAATGTGAAGAAGGTGCCTTTGGGTAGGTGGCCCAAAGATGACAACCTTAAAACCATTGGCTTGTATTCTCAGGCGGTTCTGTATGATGGACTACAAGCTATCACGATGGGGCCTCTGACGAGAGGGCTGGGATGGACTCCAGAGGAGGTCGAAATACTGCTGATGCAGGTGCGGAAGGACCTCAGGAACGCGGCTTTCCACACGTATGTGTACTATCACGCTTTATCTGGACAAAAACCGTTGTAATAAGCTTGAGATTTGGGGTAGATCTCATGGCCAACAGTTGGACTAGCACGTCTATACTAGCTATAAACTTAATGCTGCAATATATAACACCAAGGCTCCAAGTTAACAAAAACTTTGATAGTCACATCTGAGGCACCGACCATAACCCTTGGACTTGACGTTCGCCGTTGAAAGGGCCGCAACTATAATTGATACATACCTTAAGGTATCTGATACGGTGCTCACTAGATTAGTCGCTATGCACTATGAGCCTGATTGAAGATGTGCTAAGCAGCTCGAGTGATTTGAATATCTTTTTGTTATCTAGAGAAAGACTGTCTGCGGCGCTGAATGAACCGCATGCTTACCTTTGCCACTTTAAGGCGAAATTATTGAATGTTTACGCCCTAAATACACATGCGGCTCTGCCTTGTTTAAAAGCGAACATAAGTGATGTCAAATCTGACTAGAACAAAGTGACGGCTAAGATGACTAAAGAATTACTGATCGAGGTGAAGAGGTGGAATCGCCCATATTCAGGAAGAAATGTAGAGGTGGATCAAATCAAAAGGACTGCACGTTCTTGGCTTATTGTCTTGCTACTCGCTGCCCTAGCTCTTGTCAAGAATCCGATATTTTGTGTTAAAGTGCGAATCACAAAGTCGCTCCCGTTGGTAAATTGCATCTCCGACATAATAATGCGATTGCTTACACCCTTGCCAAAAAGCTTTAGCTCTGCTGGGTCACGTCATGATAGTACCCGTGTGGAGTGCTTACGATCTTGTCAAATATGTCGTGGAACATTGGACCACTCAGATTCAATTTGATTCGCCTCGACAGGTAGTTCGTCACTCCTTCTCACTAACGGAGTAGGTCTAGGCCCGACTTCCCGATCTAAAAGGAGATCAACCGGTGTTGAGTATAGAGCTCGAAAATATGAGACATTGCGGAGAAGTTCATTTATATCACTCTAAGACGCGTTGCTTCGCCGGGTTGTAGTTTCTTGGTTACCTTGGATGTCTCCAGTTCAATGTATGGGGTTCCATTTAGCCTCAGACCTCAAGATCGTGTACGAGATTTTCGATTCAGAAATGTCTCGTAATTATTACCCACCTGAGGAGGATCATGAATGCCACTTTCCACGACCAGGCAGGAGACCGAATTCAATAATCTGTTGTTCAGTCGAGTGAGAGAAGATGAAACATGTTTGCGAAGCTTTCGTGGTATTTTGTGAGATTTCAACGGAACAGGGATTCGACATAGTCTTTGGTTGTTATTCTAAATGAAGTAGACTCCAACTAAATCCTCTTCGAAACAATATGGATGTATATGTACATAGTGAAGGGAAGTCGATTTTACGGAAGCCTAAAGACAAATAATACAACCGCTAACAGCGAACGGCTCATTTCGCGTATAAACAACTCCAAAACTCCCACTTTCTAGGATGGTATCTCTTAGCCCAACCGCTATTCCAATATATACAAAATAAGAAAAAGAATTTGAACTTTAGAAATGCCAAAGGTTGGCTAAAAACAACGCTGTCGCCAAGCTGAACAGTCGCCACACTTAATGACGGTACTTCAGCCCAGGTAGAATGTGTAAGTGTGTGTGGGGCAACGCCGGACCCTCAGACTATTGCCCAAGATGCGGCCAAGATCAACACGAGCGCCGAGGACTTGGTGACAAGACCGCCGAGCAACTTGGCACCCGCATCACTGGTCTTGACTGCATTGCAAGACAACGCTGAAAGCTTCCCCTCGGGGTCAGGCCAGGTCCCGTTCTGGCAATTTGCACGAGTGAGCATCGCCGCCTTGACCTGCGTCTCCAAAGCCGCGTCCATCTTGATTTTACACGCCTCAGACGCGGGCTCCTTGTCCGAAACCACGGGGCAGATGTCGCCGTAGTCGTGGCTATTGCCTGTGATTTGGAAACTGCCGACAAAGTCGGGGCAGGAAGTCGTGTCGACGAGAGAGGGGATCTGTCCGTTGGGGTCGGTTGTGAAGAAGGCGGTGCCGTTGTACGAGACATCGTAGACTTTTGATGACGGGCCCTCGCCAGTGACGTTCTTTGGGCAGGCGCTGAACATAGTCGCCGTGTATCGTAAGCGGAACTCCCGCTGCGTCGCGTTGACCAGGTCTCTCCGGGAAGCGTCGATGATGGTATATGTGTCAGTGGTTTTGTTCTTGGCCTCGGTTTGCCAGACGCCCGAGCTGAAGAGCTGCCCCGTGTCCGCATCGTTGATATCGGTGTACCCCGTGAGATCCCACTTCACCCAAAAGTTGTAAAAGTTCTTTTCGTCAGACTCTGGCCAGAGCTTCGAGGCGTTTTGAACGGCGAAGACGAAGGGGAAAGGCCAGACGGGCTTGTAAGTGCTGCCATTGCGCGGGAAGACAAGGTCAACTTCAACGGAGGTCGTGGGCGTCGTTGTTATCGTCGCCGCGGAGCTGAAACCCGTGAAAAACGTCAGCAGCTGCAGCGAGCGGCTGAGTGAGACGTGCATGGCCGATTCTTTTGATGTGTGGTATGGTTTGTCTTTCAGCTTTCAGAGACAAAGTGGACATGCCGTCGGGGGAACACAAGTTCAGATAAACGACCCAAAAACGTGGGAAGTTCGTCCTTCGGAAAGTAAATATAGATCGTCCAGGCACCCCGAGTTGCCCAAGGGGGCTGATCGTCATTTACATGACATGTCACCACCGGGCTGCGGCACGGCCGCACCGGGGGTGGAAACTGGGGCCAGGGTTACCCGGGATGGGTTCCAGAAGTTTACGAAGACAACCTTTCCGATTTTCCGTGTCAAGAAAACTTAATTGAGAAGCGGAGTGATTATGAGTGGACAAGACCGCCGTGTTTGCGGGTTTTGAACAAAGATCCAATTTCAAACTAGAGACTCGGCGAAGAGCCTCTGGCGCATTAGCTAAAGCCCAAAGTACCTGGTTTAGTGTTAAATAACTCGTTTTTGGCTTTTTTCTCGCAAAGCTTGGTCACGATATCAAGAGAGTGAGTAAGGCAGAGCTTTTTTATTGGTTGCGATTGCATCACCAGTAAGCCCACGCAGGGGTCGCAAGCCACGCGTAGTTAGCGTGTAAGTCGGTGCTCGTATCGGGCGGTTGATATGTCCATCTTACCCTTGATGGTTCGTTCCTTTTGCCAATCCGTCATTTGTCCATAGCTGATCCCGCGAATCCTTCGCTCCGTTGACAGCCTTCACAATACTGAAGTTGATCCTCCAAATACCGCTAGCGCCAAGGCGTACATGATCTAGTGCTGACCCTACCAAGCAACACGGTCACACTTGATTTGGCCAAGATACGGGACTTTGGCTCGTGTGCCTGACGATTTGGCGGAATTCCATTGCCAACCTACAGGAAAAGAAATCACAAAGTGCTGATTACCAGATCATGTCAACAATGCAGGAGTTTCGGTTTGAGATTAACAAAATGAATTGAGTTTAGCTACAGGCATTGTGCCTGAATGCGGCTCTACAAAGCCCCGCGAGCAATCTTCCCGCTTTTCTCGCTTTTCCCAAAAGGCCCCGAAGCAGTTTGGAAAGACAACTCAGCCGCCCACAAGGCTACTTCTTCCATTTCAAAGGAAACATACAAACAAAGAAAGCCAAAGAAGCTTCGACGAAGGTTCTGCAACGGCGCGATGACAATGTCTCACGTCTACAGGAATTAAGCGGCATCTGGAGCCGGAATGCCCCACACAAACGACAGTGCGCTGCCCACAACGTGGGTTCCGTCAGACCACACGAGTCTGCCCCAGGAAGTAGCGTCCGCGGTGGGCGGGGAGCTCATCGTGACAGTCAGCTCAAACGTCTTCTTCTCTCCAGCCGCCTCAAAAGTAAGAGTCTCGGGCGTCACAGAAGCCTTGACCAAGTCAGCATCGTTGAGCGAAATGGTGGCCTTGTACGTGCCAGCACCTCCGACGTTGGTCACGGTGCGTTTGAAGGTGGCGGTGTACGATCCACCGGAGGCGGCGGCGGCGCTATCGTATAGGGCAGAGAAGGAGGGGTAGTTGAGGTCGTAGACGCTGTAGGTCTGGTTGGACGCGCAGGTGAAGTTGCTTCTGGTGATGGCAGTCGTGAAGGCAACGGTTGAATTAACGGCGCAGAGCCAGGGGAGGTAGTCGGTGGGTGCAATGTCGTAGACGAGACCCGGATTCAGGGCGGCGACGGGGTCGACGTGACCGTTTCCGTAGAGGAAAGGGGTCGCGGCCTTGGAGTCGGAGGAGTCTAGGAGGGGAGTCTTGGCGCCCTTGGTGTTGGTGTAGGCGGTTGTCATCATGGCTGAGCGGATGGCGGCCGGGCTCCATTCCGGACGGCGGGCCATGAGCCAGGTTGCCAGGCCGCTCAGGTGAGGGCACGACATGCTCGTACCTGAGATGACATTCTGGTCGACCTTGCGGGTATCAATATCGAGACCGGTAGGTCCAGTGCCGGCCCAGGCTGCTAGGATGGAAACACCAGGTCCCTGTCAATGTGTTAGTCTATTGACAATTTGACAAAGCCTCTCTGAAAACTTCATGTTGTTGCTCGTAACGTACCGTGATATCCGGCTTCAAGAGCTGCGGGACGATGTAGTTGGGGCCGCGCGAGCTGAAAGCCGCCATAAGCGGAGCCGGGACTCCGAGTCTAGTGCCCTCAAAGTCCAAAATAGCCGTGCCGTTGCCGGTCTTTGCGTAGGCCTCCACCTCGGCTCCATCTGAGGCAGTGAGGTGCAGGGCAGGCAGGATGTGGGCGTCGGCAATCAGCTCGTCACCGTTGGCGGGTGGATTCACGAGGACCATGCCGCGACCACCGGCGGCCCTGACGACGCCGCCCTTTTCGGTTCTGCCGTTGTTTCCGCGAACGCAGACGACGACCTTGCCAGCAACCTTGGCGGGGTCAAGGCTGTCTGCCAGGCATAGGTTGGCATTGGTGACGTTGCCCTTGCCCGCCTGGCTTGCGTGGACGAGAGGGAGGACCTCGCCAGCCTGAAGAGGCGTGATGTCGGTGACGGAACCGTTGCTGTAGAGAGAGAAGCCGGTGTAGTTCTTACCGTTGCCGAGGGTAACATGAGCAGGGAAGTCACGGTCAAGCGTGCTTGCGGCAACGGTCAGAGCCCAGGGGGCCTACGAAAGTGTTAACATATCACACCTATGGAGCAAAGCGAGAAAGGAGAAGGGAGGCGAGAGATACTTACAAGGTTGGCAACAGTGCCTGCTCCCGGGCCGGAGTTGCCGGCAGACATGGCGACAAAGATACCCTTCTGGACGGCAGCGAACGCACCGAGTGCTGAACCATCGTCCTCACTGAAGGAGGGCTGATCGGGGCCGAGAGAAAGAGACATGACGTTGACGCCATCCTCAATGGCCTTATCCATAGCCGCGAGGATGTCAGAGTTGAAGCAGCCCTCCTTCCAGCAGACCTTGTACATGGCGACACGAGCAAATTCAGCCATACCGCGAGCCGTGCCGGATGCTTGGCCAAAAAGGCTGGCGTTCGGCACAGCGGCTCCGGCTGAGGTGGACGAAGTGTGTGTGCCGTGTCCGTCATCGTCTCTAGGGGACTGATACTCTCCAGTCCAGTTGAAGGAGCCCGTGCCGTTGGTGACGGCGGCGACGTATCCTTTGTAAAAGGCCCTCGCGCCAACGAGCTTCTTGTTGCAGCTGGTGGCCGGGAAGTCGTCACTGATTTCGCACTCGCCCTTCCAGTTGGCAGGGATGGGCGGCATGCCGTCATCCTTGTAGCTGGGGTTCTCGGGCCAGACGCCCGTGTCGAAAATGCCGACAATGAGGTTGGACTCTGGGTTGGTGCCGTTGTATTCGTCTCTCTCGTCCAGGTAGCTGCCGACGTCGAGCCCGCGCCCAAGGAGCGAGGCGTCGTCGATGCCTAGAAAGTTCGGAGTCCTGCTGGTGTGTAGGCGGTAGGCCTTGTCAAGAGTGACGGAGAGGACGTCGTCCCGGTCTCTCAAGGCGTCAGCTTGGCCATCTGTGATCTTGGCGGCGTACCCGTTGACCGTGTTCTCATAGTGGTAGAGCACGTTGGCAGGATCGGCGGAAACGGAGATCAGGGAAGAGTCGAACAGATCTCTGCGTCGGAGACCGGAGGCCCCGGTGTGCTTCATCTGGACGATGTACGTCTTGCGAAGCTCAGCACCGTAGGCGGCCCCCGCGAAGAGGGCGCCCAAGAGGAGGGTGAGAGAAGTCTTTGCCATTGCTGCGGTAATGTCAACTCAATCCGGAGTTGAGTCCTTGGCGTATTGATGAGATCTTGACGCTGGAGAGCAGGACGTCGTTGCATTCCACATGCCAACCGGACAGCTCTATATACCCCGATGCGACATGGCTTCTACGGACGGTGAATTGCTTCCCCATGTCAGGGGCGGAAGGAACAATACCGTGGCACCATACCGGCGGGATCTAGCCCCTGAGGTCTCGCAACTGTGCCAGTAAACTTCTCGTACCTGGCGATCTCGCAAATAAGCGAAGCCGACATGCAGTGACCAGACCCATGAACACCGTTCATCTGCACGTGTATCTGTTAGCGACCTACCCTTTGCGACCTTAGGGCCGGGATAAGAAAGCTTGAGATAATGTAACCCAGGGGTTTATCATTATTTTGATTGGCTAGAGACTCCGCAACTTGCGGCAGTCTACCAACACTCAATTAGAGTGCCAGGCAACCTTAATCCTAGGAACTAATGTTCGTCCGACGTGGCCGACTCTGTTGAAGATTTGCGCTAATCAACCCAGAAAGTTTAGCATAACATTGTTCACCCCGGCTGGGAAATTGCCATGTAGCATCCCGCAGAAACCAGTCCATTGTCACACCCGAATCTCGGTGCTCGGTACAAGACCGCAGAGCTCCGGATGGTAGGACGGGCGCTGCACCCTGGAGTAAATGCAAAGGTTCCATCGGCATACGTGATTTCTAGATGCGGGGGAGTCCTTTGCTTCACGATCGATCCAGCGACATGCCGAACTTCAGTAGCGGCGGCTATTCTGTCATGTTTTTGGTTATTGTAATACACATGCCCACCCAGTAAAGTTCAGGTCAACTTCTTCCGGTAGCTTTTCGCTAACCAAATGCCATCATATCTGATAAATTGAAAAGTGCTCATTCTGAGTGGCCTTCCTCTTCTGGAATTGCGTTTTTGATGACTGTCGGAACGATTACTGATTAGTCACAAATGGCAAATGTCATGCGGCTCTGCCGGCGCCGACGACCTACGAGGGGGCCGCCATTTCAATGAAGCTATCTTAGGTTGGTAAAATCATCGTTACGTTGGAAGATAACCTTTCAAAACCTCAACAACTACACAAGTGCATCGAGTTCGGTACATCCAGTCTCTGAATGTGTGCTCATGTATTTACTTCTATCAACAGCTCTTATCGCACCCAATCTAATTTACATACATCAAAGGGTCCGAGGCGGTTTAGGTGCCCCAGTCTTAACGGGCTGTGCGAGAGGAGCACCAGATTGTGCCTTGGCCATGGGGCAGAATTTCTTCTTGATGGCACCGGCATCACCGTTGGCGTCCAATGTGCCCAACATGCTCGCGAGCTCGCCCATTCGCTGAGCAATGGACACAAACATACCAGCTGCGGCAGTGTTAATCCATATTTTGGGCCCTGGGAAAGTAAGTGGATGACCGACCTTCAGCGTGCCACAGATAATGGCAATGGAAAGCCCAAACACCCGGGTTGTCTGCTGTTATGCGGATTACCAGGTGTGAGTATCCTGGAATTGTGATCGTGTCACGGCGCATTGGGTTGTCAAAGTTCCATGTAGTCTTGCTGGCTCCGAACAGGCCGTTGCCCCAACCAATGACTTGGAAGTTCTGGCCTATCTACAGTTTAGCACGTTGACGAAGATTACAAACAAGTTTGTGAATAAATACCACTAGATAAACGGTCAGTCATGGATTCAGAGGTGATGGTCGCGAAGCAACTTACTGCAAATGCCAAGGATGAACCATCATAGCGTCTGAGTTAACTACAATTTGGGCAGCTTTGTCATCCCGGGACACCAAGACGAATTGATCCTTTCCGAAGTCTAGTTTCGGCCGAGGCGAGTTCAGGTTCTCTGGTGTAATGTCCTGCTGCATGACCTTCCATAGCGAGGCATCGTCGGTCAAAGGTGTATACAGAGTCTAGCCGCTGTCAGCATGCTGCTCTTTGTCAAATCAGCCAAGAACTTCTTTCAACTCACATCATTGACATGTGTGCGAACGACATCGTTGACGCGCTCCTGCTTGAACGTGAAGTAATGATAGTTCCTGTCGCCAACGTCGTAGGCCGGCCTGCTTCTAACAGGTTTGGGAAGGTTGTGCGGCAAGTCCTCGCACCTGTCTCCCCACGGCTCCTTGCCTACACCAGGGTTAGAGTTGGCGTTAAGATCCCACGCCTTGCCAATCGGCGGAACGCCAAGGTCCGTCTCGTCATACGATAGGATCGCGGTGGCCCCGAAAGGTGTGCCGTGCATCATGCCCGCCTTATGGTTCTTGTGAGACATATGGAAGCACCGAACCGCAGCGTCGGCACGAATCAGGTAGTTTCCGGCAGTCTGGTTGGCATGGACGAGGACGGAGTAGCGTTGACCGGGGTTCATGTACACACGGGATGTGGCGATCGGAGCAACCTCGACGCCGTCAATCTCGACGATTTGCAGAGGGTGATCGTCAACCGTGACAAAAATCGGGGTGGATGTGCCGTGGTTGATGAGACGCAGACGAGCTGTTGAGCCGCTCTTAACCCGCGTATTGAAGAGGGAACCCCATGTGCACTTGGGAGGAGGCGCACCATCTCTCGGCGTGTTGTGGCTTCCCATGTTCTCCATGTTATGGCCGTTGTGGTCCTCGCCTGACTTGGCCTTGTTTGCATCATGGCCTTCAATACTGGAGCAGTTAAACGTGTTCTTGCCGTTGATGATGACATTGTCAGGAGGAGGCTCCCTGCCGGGCTTCTTAGGGGCCCAAGGTGGATTGGCGCTTAGGTACTGAGTGAGGAGCTAGAAACCTGTGAGTACAAAATGAGAGAAAGAGTGACTGAGTCAACTCACAGTACCCCCATACTCATGAAAAAGGTCTCCGACCATCACGATCTTGTCATCATCGACAGGGGGGATCTTTTCATCCGGGTCATGGATGATCTACGTTGGAAGAGAATATGTTAGTATCGATCGTCAAGCGCTCACAGGCCAAAGCTTCACCAACGATGTCTCATGAATTAGTGTGAGAGAAATCTTACCAATGGCCCAAAGAGTCCGTCAGTGACTTGGACTGAAACATGAGCGTGCCACCAGAACGTGCCCCGCTGGTCAGTGACATTGAATTCGTAAGTAAAGCTCTCGCCGGCAGGAATGGCACACTGGCTGACGCCAAAGACACCGTCCATCCAGACCGACTTTCTCTGGTCAATGCCGTGCCAGTGAATCGTGGTACTCTCCTTCAACATCTGGTTGTGCACCGTGACACGGATGGTGTCTCCCGTGTTTGCCTCAATGAGAGGGCCGGGAGATTGTCCGTTGACGAGGATCATTGACTTCTCAAATCCGTCGGGTGAGTGCTGCTGTCGCGTGATGTTGAACACATACTCCCGCATCGACGTCACGTTCGACACCTGGAATCCTGTCTGCAGATTGAACTGCTGATCAGGCGTCAGCTCCAATTGAGGTGTTTGTGTAGGGACAAGGGACGAAGTGGTTGTTGGCGTTATCGTCGTCGTCAGTTCCGGCACTGGGTCCGCCGATGGTGGTGGTGGTGGTGGCGGCGGCGGCGGCGGGCTTTCTTCATGGTTGTCCTCATCGTGAGCCGGTTCCGCCGGCCGGTCCTTCGTCTGTACATTGAAGAATTGGGCAAAAATGAAGGGAATAAGTGTCAGGATGGACACGCAAGTGAGCACCATGATCCATCGAAACGTCTTCTTGTGGCCCGCATGGCGTCGGTAGTGGCCCTTCTCGCTGTAGTCGGCTGAGTCGGGAAGCAGGCGATCCTCCACATCAGTCTCCGACGACGATCTGACGCCTAGCATGGGGTCTTGCTCGTCGCGTGTCCCGTCCCGCGGGACCAGGCCGGAGCTCATGGTTACTGCGCTAATGAGGGAAAAGATGCAAATATGACGGCTCAGAAATGTACACAACGAACTTGGGTTCGCTATCAGAAAGAGAGGAAATAAACAGAACCAACAGCAAAACGCCCCAGGTTTCTAGCAATTGGCATTCGCCATACAACTTTCGCTGCGTGGGTTAATAAGAAACACGAGAAAGCGAAGAACCACGTGGTAAAAGGGGCAAACGGCCGGGATAAAGGAAAAAGCCACCACTAAGATGCTACGGGGATCCTCTCTTTTTGCTTGTATCCGATCGGCGAGATATTCGGCGAAACGGGGCGATGGACTCCTCGATAAATCGTCCGTGAAAAGACAAGAGATAGGCCCCGGCGCTTAGCAGCTCGGTAATTGCAACTTTTCTTTAGCTGTTCCGGTCCTCTGGAAATTTCGACGCCATGAAACGCGAAACTGTGATCCAAACTATGCGGAAACTTTCAGCCAATTGGACATTTACAAACCTTCCAACCACAGTTTGTTGATCGACTTGCGTCGTCTTGACAGACAAGTGATGTTTCTATGCGCATTCCCAGTTGACCTGTCTTCCGGTCTCTTAAGCTCTTAAGAGGCACTCCGCCTCTCTACGAAGGCTTTGCAGTTGAAAATTTGCGTCTGATAAAGGAGAGGTTTCGAGGTGCCAAGTTTCTGGTGGGTTCAGGGGCCCGTGTTCGGGAAAGTCTGACCACTATCGTTCGCTAAACAGCCTCTCAATACAACGCCCAGAATCATCCCGTCTCGAGTTCCGGTGCATCGGAATAGGTGTTTCAATCACACGGTGTTCGCCCGCTGGCCCTTCCTCCAAAACCTACTGTCACGGTTGTGTAAATCATGAGAAATTTTCGATCACACTGCGAGTCTGGGATAAACTTTCTCTGCGTGACCAAGAACTATCAGGGTGCGACCCCCGCAGCTTCAATCGTCTCGACGGCGATGGTCCCCTGATTGACAAGAATGATCGGCGAACTGCTGTCCACTATGTATGCCGGGATTGGATCGCTCATTACTGGTTTAAGTGCATAGACTCCAGCCAAGCCAGAGGCCTGCTGAGTTAAGCATTGTTCTTGACTATCATCTGGCGCAACCCAGAATTCATGGGTAACGGGCAATTGACATAGACTCCAGCACTGCTCTCTCACTATTCGATTTCGGTCTTCTACCAAGTTGAGGCCACAACAGAACACATGGAAGCGAGTGTTGCAGAAGCCCCTCACTCCACATCACTTACTAGGTAGGCTGACTGATTGTTATTGGAGAGTGCACCAAGTTGAACCGATCTGGCAACTATTGTCAACTCATAGTTTGTACTTGCCAACTGATGTTCAGTCGCTTCGCAACCAAATTGTTGCCTTACTGAGAACCTGATTGTTGAGCACAAGAGTTCAATTGACAGCCTATACCTTAGAAACATGACGAAGAAACCCCCCACAGGCCATCAGTCCTGTACTTGTTGGACAACGACATAGGAACTTTCGTATAGACCTCGGCCCTCACCAAATTCTGGATTCTTCAGAGGGTGTTGCATCGGCCGTAATGCCTAACATGGCCCTAGTTAGTTGACATGGATACACTCGTCACAGTCGTTGGAGCAAGACCGGACGCAGAACATCAATTGAGCATGGTCCGTCTTCCGATCCCCACGGTCCTAAAGAGAACTCGCCAACCATCATCCACGGGCCCATACGGAATGAAACGTCGCTAAGGAGGGGCAAGTGGGAGACCGAATGCTCAACAAGTCCGCTCCACGTTCCCGCAGAATCCTCCGCAGTTCGCGACGACTTGTCGATCACTCATGAGCTTTCTATCAATGGCAACGGCAAACAACTCCGCAATGTGACCATGAGTAATGTTCCTCATATATAAGTCCGTTCTCTCTCATAGCGCCTCTTTATATCGCACACTCTGAAACTAGTTTACTTGGCTTCTTGGACTTTCTTGACGATACACGACACACCGCAATTATCAACATCGAAACCAATACAATCGTCGTACGAAACATGGCAGAGACGCACGGAACATGCGAGCCCAAGTTCCAGGGCGTTCGCGATAAGTTCAGCGAACTTTTGGGATCTGGAGTCGAGCTTGGTGCATGTCTCACTGTCACCATCGACGGTGAGGACGTCGTGAACTTGTGGGGAGGTTACGCCGACGCCAATCGCACTCGCCCTTGGAAGAAGGATACCATCGTCAACGTCTTCTCCACAACAAAGACCATTTGCGCGCTTGCAGGGCTTATTCTCATCAACGAGGGCGAAGTGTCACCCCACGACAAAGTCTCAAAGTACTGGCCCGAGTTCGCAGCCAACGGCAAGGAGAATGTCGAGGTCCGCCATCTTCTGTCCCACAGCTCTGGTGTGGCGGCGTTCGAGGACCCCATTACCCTCCAACAGATGTGCGACTCGTACGAGGAGGTCATTTCCAGGCTCGAAAAGCAACCGGCTCGCTGGGAGCCTGGTACCAAGTCTGGATATCACGCCTGGACCTACGGCTACTTGATCGGAGAGCTGGTGCGCCGAAAGACGGGACTGACTCTCACGGAATTTGTCTCTCAAAGAATCGCGGGGCCTCTTGGTGCCGATATGCAAATCGGAGCAAAGGAGAAAGATTGGCCTCGGGTGGCAGAGCTGATCCCCCCGCCGGCTCCTCCAGCCCACATTATGCCTGAACAAGATGAGGACCCCGACTCTCTGAAGCACAAGATGCTCCATCCGTTCCCGGATCCTAGCTTCGCAAACACTGAGCCGTGGAAGAAGGCTGAGATTGCAGCGGCAAACGGCCACAGCAATAGCAAGGCTTTGGCGACGATTTGGTCCAAGTACCTTACGATTGGGGATGAGAGCAAGAGACTCTTGTCTCAGAAGACGATCGACCTCATCTACAACGAGCAGACGTACGGACCCGACCTGTGCATGGGATTCCCCGTTCGCTACGGAATCGGCATGGGTCTCAGGGGCAATGGTAACACGCCGGTGGATTCTTGGTTCCCGGAAGGGAAGATCTGCTTCTGGGGCGGCTGGGGTGGATCGATGCTCATCAACGATCTTGATCGTCGGATCACCATTGCCTATGCGATGAACAAGATGTCGCTTGGTTCTGCAGGCAACGAGGCTGTTTATGCCTACGTTGCTGAGATTTACAAGGCATTGGGTGTTCCCGTGGGAACTCCTAACGGTCAAGCCTAAGGGCTATTGTGTTGCGTTTGGATAGGGGTGATTCGTGAATAACATAGTCATTCATAGTCGCGAGTATAGCTGAGAAAACTCGCTGTATTAGACACTGAACGCAAATGGCTCACTCATTGTTATGGATTCAACGCATTGGACTCTGCCCAACAAAGGTCTCGAAAGCGACTAAACGTTAAAATACCAATTTACAACAGTTTATATATATTTGCTATTGAAAGCGAGCTACTGAAGACTATAATGGTGGGATATTGTGAATCATTAACTCTAGTCGTGTAATTGCAACATCAACTTCAGACTCAACTTCATCAATGGATAACTTTTCCGATGGATCTACTCCTTCGTGGCATCGCTCTAGTTTCAGCGTTGGCAATCATATCATTCCATTCAACAGTCGAAGCCTACTTGTCATACCGACCTACTTTGTGATCTCAAGAGCCGCATACCTGACGCCACTGTCTGCAGCTGTCTTGTTTAAGTGACTACTCAAGTGAATATTAAGTTACGTCACATGGACTTTGTACATTGCATTGCCTTCTAGATGTTCAAATATAATAACGGGGTAGATACTTACTTCAAGGTCGGTTTTTGTCGTTGGCTCAACCAATCTGTCCTCTTTCTCGATATCCTCGGCAAAATGAGACGCTTCGGCCCACGGCTACATGCCTCGAACCGGATAAATTGCTTCGTAGCGAGGCACACCGACTGACTAGTTGTCGACATGCTCCCATGCCAAATTTACACGAACATATCTGGGGTCCGGACCCCGGACCCCTGTGGGGTAGGGCTGGCCGTATCTGTGATATCCCAGCGGTTCGTTGCCGAAGATATTTGCTGGGCACCAAGTGCTGTGGCAATGCTACATGCCTGCATTACTGCTTATTTCATTGCATATCTAGGGCGAAAAAACCCACCACTGCATGTCAAAATGGAAGCAATGTCACCAATGGTCCGTAGACTCGGCCCTGGGGTTCCCTTCTGACCCTTGGCTGCATTAGCAAATCCATCGTGGGCAGTCATGTCGGACTCGCACATATCTTTACGGGTGTCCGCGCCTCACTGCACCTTTCTTTCTCCTCTTTCTGCCGTATAGCCAAGCCAGATTCTTGATCATTTACTTGTCAACTTCCTTGGTCGCACCGATCGCCATTTTTTTCGATATGCGTCTCTTGGGTCTGGGCCTTCTTGCCCTGCAAGCCAGCGCACTCGGTTTGGCCAGTCCAGTTTCTCGCTCAGCAGAGTCCGACATAGATCTTGCAACTACCGAGAGGCTCCGACAGCTTGCCAGCTTGGCCCAGACTGCCTTTGATAGGACCAAGTCAGAGGTCGACAGCAGCGGAACTAAGAAGCGCAGCAGCACTTGCTCTTGGCATGATGTCCGTGTCCGGAGAGAGTGGTATGTTCTTACCTGCCATCGTCAAAGCATTATTCCTGTGGTTCACTTTGCTTACATTGCAATTTCCTAGGGGCACACTGAGCAAAGTTGAGAAGCTTGACTACATCAATGCCGTCAAGTGTCTTCAGTCCAGGCCCGCCCGCACACCCGCTTCAAAGTCTTCTGGGGCTAGAACTAGGTTCGATGACTTTGTCGCAACTCACATCAACCAAACTCTGACCATACACTATACTGTAAGTGTTATGGGATGATTAAACTTTAAAAAGATAACTGACCGTAGCAGGGTAACTTCCTATCCTGGCATCGATATTTCACATGGCAGTATGAGGAGGCTCTGCGCAACGAGTGTGGTTACAAGGGCACTCAACCCGTGAGTATCTCGACTCATGGTTACGTCGGTA